ATTGAAGTCTCCCAGAATTAGCACGCTGTTCGACCCGTGGTTAAACTGTCTGAGGTATGAGAGCAGCTGCTCATCCTCCACCTGGAATGCTGAGGGACTGCGATACACACAGACTAACGCCAGCTTCTTTGTGGGGATGTGTATCGCACCAGCCGAGACCTGGATGTTCNAGGGAGAGACTGTTTCAGTTTGAAGCTGCTTGCTGGTTGTGAGCAGTGCCCCTCCCCCTATGTGATTGTCTTCCCTATCGGTTCGGAAGACACTGAAACCTTTTGGTTTTAACGACTCGATGTCTTGATTTGGTCGAAGCCAGGTTTCGGTTATCGCTATGCAGTCGGAGTGAATGCACTGCGAGATTAATTCACCCCCCTCCAGGCTGCAGGCATTTGTGCTGAACACCCACAGACCCCATCTGAGGATAGTGGTGGGAATTTTGGGGTAGCACTCAGGCTCTAGTCCCGAGTTCACCCACCGTTTTCCGCAACGGATTGTGTATGGGTTATGCCACGCGTTTCCAGCCTGGGCTTGCACACTAGTCTTGAAGTATTACATTGGGTCGATACTAAGCCTAATGGTTCCGGATCCTAATGGTTTCCACGGTTTCTTCCGGTCCTGCTTCCCGATTTACCGGGTCCGGTCATGGCTTCACAGCGGTGATCGTTGCAACGAAAGCCGCATCCATGGATATATATGTTCACTCTTTATAATGACTTTATTTCCTTTTATAGAGTATAATATGCGAATTTCAGGAAGAGGGAAGCGACTAATCAAAGGGCTGCCATACAACATAGAAATGGGGGAATTATAGTGAATCCGCGACTTGCTTGTCCAAGAAGGTTATCTGAAATGGGATAGGAGTAGGGGAAGGGGCACATTATCTGCATGCAGTGCGACACGTTGGAAAATTCAGGAAACGTTTGCAAACACGGTAATCACCATGGGACAGAGAGTTGTTTACCGTTCAGGGATTAGACAAAAATAGAGGCTTAGACTCGTTTTGAAAACCGATTTTGGGGGCATTAACTACTTCTTGAGGAAGGCCATTTCAGAGAGGAATAACCCTGTGGGTGAAAGAGCACTGTCGGACTAGTGTACGGGCGCGTGGTTTGAAGGGTTTAATGCTATGCCCACGAAGATTATCCGTGCCAGTGGACAAGAAGAAGTCGTCGATCCTTTCGGACTTGAAGAGATGGCGCAGTAGGAGGATGTCACCTAATGTCTAACGAGTTTCAATGAGGACAGGCTTGTAGGGTAAGGGGTGGATGAGAAGCCGTGCACCAGCCTTGTCGCTCTCCGTTGTACACGCTCAACGGCCGTACAGTCGCTCACCAAGTGTAAGTTAGCAATTTCACTCCCGTGTTCTAATAAGGGTCGGATGTACGTACTATAGAGAATCTAAAACTCGTCTCTATCTATTCCGAGTAAGGGGCCTCTTATGAAGTCGAAGACACGGAAGGGGGATTTACTGGCATTTTGTTCGTGATAGGAGAATGAGAGTGACCTGGTCAGCCAGAAACCATGGACCTTATGTAGTGACACCAATCACCTCCCATTCTACGTGCATCCTTCCTCCTTTGCGTCCCATTGTTTTACCACACCAAGGCAACCTCTTTGGTCAGTGCGCGTTTGTTTTCACTTTCTGCACGCTTGCTCACGCTTTCACAGCCCTCTTTTTGCTCTGCAGGTTATCAACCATCCTCCGTTTCGTGAATTGTCTGGTTCTGCCTTCGTAAGAACGCTCGTTTGTGATATAGACGTATTATCTCGGGGTACCGATAAGCCAGCGCCTACAAATTGGTGAGCCCCCGTATTTTATTTTATTCACGTTAAAAATTTATTTTTTCGGAGAAATTTTAATTTTCTCTAGGTCAAATTTCTAGTAAATAGTCCGCGCATATATTTTGACGGATCTGCTCCCGTTCACATAATTTTGGATCATATTTATTTCTGATTTGTTGTCATCTACTATTAGATTTTGGCATTTTCGTTTTTCCAACGTATTTTTTCTCCTAGGCGCAATTGGATCGTATTTTTATAATCGGTTCCGCAACCGCATATCATATATTTACGGTGAATTGTGACTGGCCTCGATCATAAGTATCCCACAGACAACGAAGCACTCTGGGCTCAAATTAGGGCATCAAAGTTTATGCCGGAGGACCCGGAAGCGTTCATCACCCTTCTGTAATCGCGATTTTACGAAGACCGCATCACCGGGCAACTATCACTATACCACAAACTATTGTCCGCGATATCGCGCGACATGCTGAGCAACTTTGGGGATACCTACATGAATATTCCGGCACAGAACACACACGACGCGCTCAAAGAAACACTCCTCCGTCATATGACCAGTTCGGAAGAGAAGCGCATTCAGCTTTTTCTGTGTGAGATACAACTGGGTAATCTCAAGCTATCCCAGTTGCTGCAACAAATGCGTGCTTTAGTATGCAACACATCAAAAATTGTTTACGTTAATGCGGCGAGTATAGGGAACAAGTGGACTGAGCTTAAGATGCGCTCTCAGGGAGCAGATGTGATTGCAGTCAGTGAAACGTGACTGTGACCCGAGGAGAGCATAACAGCCCAGTGCCCCGCGGGCTACATTGAAAGCAGGGCTGATCGGCAGGATGGTAGAGCTGGCGATGGTGCCCTCCTATTAGTGGGACAGCACTATGAGCAATATGACTGACTGCGGATGATCACAACTAACCTCCAGGTGGTGATGATCATAGTGAAATTGCCCTACAAGGGAATAGCCATCTTGTGCTGTTACCGCGGCAGTGAAGATGAAACGCCGGTGGCTCTCATCCGGGAGTTAGCAGAACCCCGTCGGAACATACTACTGCTAGGGGATCTTAATGCCCCCGAGGCCAACTGGGAGGACGGTACTGCCCCAAGAGGCAGCTTCGGCGAACTCCTGGTAGGTATGGTACGAGAAAATACCCTGGTCCAGCATGTCAACCAACAAACGCGCGGGAGAAAAGGGCAAACCCCAACGACCCTTGACCTTGTTATAATCAGGTTCATGTCAGAGATTGAAGGTCTATAGATCCAGGAACCGATTGATGAGAGCTATCACGGGTTCCTCAAGTTTTGTATGAGTCCAGGGGGCAACAGGTACCCGATAAATATCGGCGCGAATGATATCGAATATACCCCCAGGACATCCAAGACAGGGCTGAAAGGCTTAATTGGACGTTATAGGGGAGTTCGACCCGGTAGCCGACCAATGAGATCCGCTAAAAAGTAATCTCCCAAGGCTTACATATCAAGTGGCACTCCTCATAAGGGTCAGGAGGCATGGGAAGCCCATGAGGTGTTGGGCTTGTCTAGAGTGAACGCTCAGACGCAAAGGGGCAGCTTGAAGACGCTACCTGCAGAACAGAGAACAGTATTCTTCTGGAACATCGCATTCTATTAGCAATCGGCTTCTTGAAAATACAAATCTCAAAGATAGTGCCAGCGAGTTGCTAATTCCGCGATCAATTCCACTGCTCGCATCGGTAAGTCAACGATGGTGAAAGCTTCCGTCACCTTTACTCTTTCACCATTACCTAGCAAAATCAAAGTCACGTTTGCTCAATCGGCGGAAGTCGCCTTTGTACCGCTCACCGTGCTGATCGTCAGGGAAGATGGTCGTGATGTTGTTTTTGACTGCGAAGCGCTTGGTGATCAAGGTGGTAGCGGATCCGTTACTAATCAACGTCATCGCATTAAACCACCTTACGGCGTGTTAACATGCTCACTGGCGTCACCCCGACACTTATCTGCTTGTCCGCCGATTGGAAAAGCAAATATACCCTTAGTTTTAAGGGTGCCGGTTGTAACGACCACAACGCGATTGTCCTGGTCCGAGCAAAACGAAAATACCTCGTCTGTATGCGTTCAATCAAATGACCCTTTGCTCGTTCTGGATAGAGATAAACAAATCTCAGAGCAACACGTAGCCCAAATTATCGAGAACCAAGTCGATCCAAAAATAATCTACGGTACTATTTTTGCATTATTCACAAATACACAAGGCAGTCATACCTCTGATAGTGAGC